TCCTACTACTTTTCCATTTTTAATGTTTTTTATTTACTTGTATATGTTAGTTTAAGGCTAGATTTGTGTATTTATAGTTCCATTTTATTGCTAAACCGGTATTTATTTGCACCCGGCTTTTATGTAAAGATATACAGTACACGTATATACTTTGTAAGAAGTTATTATCAATTATTATTAATTTTTATCTTTTTCTTGTACATGTACACCCAGTAAAGTGGCCAGTTTGTCAGATTACACTTCAAGTGAAGGTACCAAAGATGATGAAGGACAGTCTTTTTTTGCTGGAGGATCAGAACACAGGTACACTAGTACGAACGTTAATTTGTTATGTACATGTATTGTTTTAGTGGTCAACTGATATCTGGTCCTCCAAGGAAAAAGAAAGATTTAGCAAAGGACGTGTTTGATGCAGCTAAAAAGTAAGAGCTACATGTAGTTCATTACCTGTATGTGTATATGCACCATTAATAACTTGTAGTTAATGTAGTTCTTTTTAATGACTGTACAAAATTATGTATGGTTATTATAATCATGCATGTATAACTACTACTTAACTGTAGAAGGTACTGGTTCATGAGTTGGTAGCTTCTGTTTAATAGTAGAACTACTAATTTTGGAATAATTGGGCGAAGCCCTTACTTACAAGAACTGGTATGTATGTCAGGGCGTGGCTGAGAGGTGCGGTCAGGAGGCGGAGCCCCTCAATGTTTTACATTCTTTTTAGTAGTGCCTGCTTTTGAAAAGTAGGAAAGATGATGAATTCTTTCCTTTTGAGCATGCAGACTGATGCAGTAGACAGTAGAAAGTTCATGTAATGTACATGTACATGTACAGTATGCATGTATATAGCAACTGTTAAAACTAATTACTTATTCTTATGCTTGCATACTGTACTGGTAGTAAATTTTGAGGGTATAAAATTTTGTGTTTTTGTGAAAAGCTTATAATTCTTTGATTTTGAGGGGGTTAAACATCGTGTTTTTACACATACACTTGCACTAAATCATTGATTTTTACATGCTGCGCATGCGTAGTGAACATTTCCATGGTATTAATTTTTGTGGTTAAGAAGTCACCCACGAAATCCTCGAAATTGAATACCCCACGGAATTTTATACCCGTACAGTATTACATTTTTGAAGGTACTGTAGTCAAATAGATTTTCTCTTATATATTTACATGTACATGTACATGTACATGTACAAGAATACAGCATTGTTTCTGGCCAGTTTTAGTTAAATTTTTATAATAAGCTCTTTTTTTGGTATTTATCATATGATTGAATTTGCGTGAGTACAACAGTGTACATGTACATGTACATACATGTATATGTGTGTCAGTATCAGTATGTATAGCTCCAAATTTTTGTCAGTCAAAATTTCCGTCAAATTTGTCAGGTACTTTGCTTTATGATATTTTTAACCAAAGAAATTTTTGTTCCACGTGGGTAGTACATGTATGCGGATTAATAGCAAAAATGACGAAAATTAATTTTAACAAGAAATTAAGATTTTGACTTAATTTTTGACTGACGAAAATTGGAGCTATACGGTACATGCATTATACATTACAGATCTGGTATTGATGTGTATTTTAATTGTATATTCAGACAAGGAGCTGTTCCTGTTGAAGACATGGAGAAGTTGAGAGAGAATGATCGTAAATTCACAGGAACAGGTTAGGTAGTAAGTCTGTGAAAAGTATTGAGTTAATTGTATAAAATTGGTAATTTTTGTGTCATGTGTCATTAGATTGCCCACATTTTATGCAACGTACACGTATTTTGCTTCAAATTATTTTAGTAATTTTATATACAGTACATGTACATGTACATGTAGCAGGTTTTAAAAATTACATTTTAGTAATATTAAAAAAAAACAAGCAAAATTTTCCCAAATTAGCCCATTTTAAAGAAGATGCTTATGTAACTGCAAAATATTTTGTCGGAAACAGTTTAAGCTTTCTGTAGTGTAAGGACATAAATTTGCATAAGAAAATGTAAAAAAATTTAGCAGTGATTTCAGAGCCACTTTTTGAAAAAGCTACAGTCCTATATACTTTTTAATAATTGGCTCATTTTTTGAAATGCTCACAACTTGAAAATTTTTTGTCAGAAACAGCTCAAACTTTCTACATACACGCAGCAGAAGGACATCAATATGTATCAAAAATTGTAATAAAAATTTGAAATAATTCTGGAGCCATTTTTGGGAAAAGTGAGCTATAGCATTTTTTTCAAAATTGACTTTTACAGAAATAATTATGACTCGAAATTTTTTTGTGGGAAACAGCTGAAACTTTCTACATAGCATAAAGACATCTATATGTATCAGAAAATGTAATAAAATTGGAGTGACCTTTTTTGGAAAAAAAAACACGAGCTATTGTGAGTATATAGTACAGGGTTGTTTTTAAATAGTATGCATTGTAGGCTCTTTACATCACAGTAATGGTTTATAATGACATTAGTTTTATTTGTATTGTTGATTAGGGTTTAGGTTAGGCGATACAGAAGGACCCAGTGATTATGTTCCTGGTATAAGAGTGACTATTGGTAAAGAAAAGGTCACTAAGAAACTTGTGTTTTGGAGGAATGGTTTCACTGTTGATGATGGACCATTAAGGACTGGTCAGACTCCTCAAGATAGACAATTTTTAGAATCTGTCAGTAAAGGGTGAGTATATGCTTTATAGTAGTTGTACATTTATACATTTTATACTGTATACACATGTACATTATGTTTACTAATGAGCTTTAGGCCACTAAATAACCAGTTACATGTACTGTATACTTTATTGTGGTTTTTTGAGGATAACAAATTTTGCAAATTTCACAGATGTTTTACTCACGAAATTAAATTCCTTCAAAATCAATTTGATATATGTACAAGATTAGAATAGTTGAAAGTTGCAAAAATTAATTTAAATTTGTGAACCTCAGGATACAGGTCATTTGCAAAAATTATTATCCTCTAATAACCACTCTGTGGTATTTGGTAATATTAAAGTGTTGTGATTACTAAAAACTACATACTGTGATTTGGGAAAGAATATTTGTAGAATTATTGTTGTGATTATCAGATAGATAATACCTGTAGACCCACAATGATAACCAGATATATGTACATGTACATGTAGAGTGTACACTAATAAACATTGTATATTTTAATTTTAGAATAAAAAAATTAAAAGCCAGTTACATGTACATGTAATTTTCATTAAAAAGCATTTCAAAATAAATAATAAAATTATTTTAGTAAC